TTTAGATTTATATTAAAAATTTTGGAAATAATTTTTCTATAAAATTAATACAAAAATCTAACAGATGACAACAGTTACTGTCACGTACCGCCCAAAAATGAGTGTAAATAAATGTCTATGGTATAATTACCTCAATGTTTATTTGTTGATCACTATCAGTAGATCCACCCTCTTTGGTTTCCTGGATTGTTGGTAATTTTGCTCTATCTAAAATATTTTCAAGTTGACCTTAAATTATGTTACTGTTCTCAATACCTAGAACTGAAGGATTGGGATTAAATGCCCCAATAGGTCCTGATTGTTGAAAAGGTTGTTGTCGCTGACCAGCAAGATGGTGTTGAGAAGATGGTTGACCTTGAGGAGGTTCCTGTAGCCGAATTCCTGTTTGTGCCCCAATGGGTAGATGAGGTTGTACCATCATTCCTGGTTGTTGAAAAGGTTGTTGATGACTAGGAAGAAGCTGTTGGGCACGTTGAGCCTGCGAACGTCCCTGGCGACGTTGAGCTTGCGAACGTCCCTGGCGACGAATTCCAGTTTGTGGTCTAACATTTTGAGGGAAAAATGGGTGATAATGTTGAGGTAGTCGACTATTACGATAATATTCTTGTTCTGCATCTCCACTTAATTTAAAATGATTTTCGAAATGGGAACAAGTTTTGATTTCAATTAAATCGAGTCACAAGAAGATGAAAAACTCACCAAACTCGCTCTATATTCCCTTGATACTCATCAAGACGCGCTAAAAGATAATCTTTTAGTAGTCTTCTTAAATGAGATTTTGTAAGATATTCATAATTTTTAGTTAGGTATGCTTTAGATAATTTCTTTTTAACTGGCTCATTCGAAGGAACATCCAAAAGTTCTTCAACATTTCCATACAAGCTATTCTGTTCATTAAACTCAGCTGTATTTACTTTACCCAAGAACTCTAGTGTTAATCTTGCCTGTTCTGTCAGTGGAGGACCTGTTAAAAATCGGAATTAATTTTTATAAAGTCGGAATTATTAAATTCCTACCTGACATGACATGTTGAATACCTTCAAGCGTTGTCAGGGTTGGATGTTGCGTTTGTGGATTTGGTAAATACGTAAGAAGCTCTTCCATATATCGAGTCATTGCCCGATGGAACTTTCGAGGTATTTGTTGTATAAATTCTGTCATTCGTTGTCTCAACTCGTTTTGTCCTTTTTGATGATCAAATGATATAAGAAAAAGTTGCTGTTGAGATATATTGGCTTGTTGTTGAGGTAAAGCATGTTGTTGTTGAGGTAAAGCATGTTGTTGCTGAGGAATGGCAGGGTGTTCCTGAGGAATAGCGGGAGGTAGTTGAGTTATATCAGAGTGTTGTTGAGGTATTGGGAGGTGTTGCTGAGGTATTTCGGCGTGCGCTTGAGGTATGGATGGTTGTAGTTGATGTACAGTGTGTTGTTGGTGTATAGCGGTTTGATGCTGGGTCTTGGCATTTTTAAACTTAGGTAATTTTGGTTGTTTAGTTACTCTCCCTTTCCGTTTTTGACCACCTTGAGGACTTCCTCTGCCAAGAGTTATACCTAGATCTGGTTGCATAGGCCGTGAAATTTGATGTGGTTGTTGTTGATGATCTATATGTAAATGTTTTTGTCAAAAGAGCTTAGTATTTACTTCAATCCGGGCCCTATATATCAAGGTTCTGGTCTAGCAAATAATGCTTTAACTGATAAAGAACATCCCTATCTCGAATAATATCGGCTCTTTAGAGTTTGTTATATCGAGATTTCATTAGAGATCGGACCGACTTGAGAGCTCAAATCGATAATCTCGGTTATCGAGATCGGTAGTTTTTCGATATCTCTATCTCGTAAGACACTCCTAGTACTGTCTCTAGATTCCATCTTATAAAAGTTAATTACCCTCAACAACTTCAATTGCATTTTGTTCAGCAAAATATTGGCCCATATTATAATTTACATATAATTGAGCATTGTCAATCATATTAAAATAATTTTCTATGACACTACGTTCATTTTCAATTAATTTACATTCAAATTTCTTTGTTTGATCGTTAAAAACAATCTCATAAAAATTTAATTCGTAATTTGAATGAATTGCGGGTTCACATTTTATCTCTTCCTAAGAATATTTTTTTGAATAAATTCAATATTGGTGTAAAAGTATGAATTAAATGAGAGATTTTGTCTTAGTATTCATTTTAAGGATTTGGCTTTCCGTTTTGGCGGTTTGCGATATTTTTAAATTTAAACTTTTAGTGGCGTAATATAGAAAAGGAGAACAAACTTTAAGTCTGAAAGCGCCGTAACTGATATGTGATTTATCATAATAGATTGGATGTTTACATTAGGCTTATCTTCCAGCTAGGTCGTGGGGAGGAGGGAGGAGGAAAATTTTATAAGTCGATAAGTTAGTTTTCTTCTAATCCTTATAATCTGGAATTAAGGTGTATCTATTAGTAAATGTGTCATATACAAATTATATTGCACTATCATACTGTAAAAATGAGGTAATTTTGTACACTATACCTGCATGCTATCTTCAAATACCATTAACAAATATTCAACATTTGGGCACACTTTACTTCTGACATATTGTGATAGATATACTTCCTTTTGTTCATCACCATTTATAATTTTCTTTAACATCACAACAAAATTTGATTCAACATCATCCTTACAACGAATCATAACATTTTTCTTTTTATCCGAACCCTTTGGACTTTTCCAATTAAATTGCATAACACGGACTGGGCGTTTAAATAATTCGATATACGCATCGAAATTAACTGGGTCTTGTTGTTTTGTTACTTTAATAAATTTTGTTTTGCTATTTCTTCGAACAATTACATAGATTATTGAATTGTTCTCAATTTCATTTATAGCGCCGAAATTTAACTTTAAAATGAAATGTACTCTTGAGTTATCCCCGACCCCCCCCCCCCCCCTTGATCTTTCTTCTCCTTTCATTTTCCCTTTCTCCAGAAAAGTCCATAATGATCAAAGTTAAAGGATCGTGGCGATCTATGACGATATACCTGGTTTTTACAACAATGGTCCGGCATTGTACATTAGTACCTTACTCAGGGTCATAGAGCTCACTTTTTTGAAGAAAAAGTTATCGCCTTCAATTCAGAAAGGAACACTAGGACTGATGCCTTGTAGGCTGAATTCGTATTCATAAATAAAGTGAAAACCCACACTAAGTCCGTCATTTGAGATAGCAAGTTTAAAGTTGTCACTTAACAATTCGCCTTCGGTTTCGTGTTGTATAAAGTGATAGATGTCATATGCATCTGTCACAGCATCCATTGTAAACCCCGAAGTGTTGCTAGTCAATTGTAAATTGAAGCGTTCTGTCTGGCGTTCGGCCAAACGGAGATAATAATCCAAACCATTTTCACCATTATCTCGCCAAGAAACCTTTACGAATACAGACAAAGGTGTTACATTTTCGTAAAAGGAGGTGATAAAAGAGAATAGTAGTAAAAATAACCACATTCACTTAAATTCAAAAATATTAGTATTTTGTTAAAAGAAATTATATGATAGACCATAAAATCCGTATACTAATATACAATAAGCTAAACTGGGCTAGCCATTCCTCATTCAACAAAAGGTTAGTAAAGCGCTGGGAGAGAAATAGCATCTTTATGTTGAACGGACTGATCTGTTCCCCACGCCGCTTCTTGCATAGACTTAAGAATTAAATACATAACTGTAGTATGTCTTACAATACTACATATAAAGGAGTGTCATTAATATCGAGATAAATATTATAGAATGAAAACTGTTGAAAGACCTTCAAAATCTTCGTTGAAGATTTAAAAACAAACAAAATATTTATTTAAAATGTTTAAATAAATAAATTTTTTTTTATTATTTAAAATTTTTAATTAAAATAAAATTTTAAATAACTATAAAAAATAACGAATTATTGAGTGGAATCTTATGAATGAATAATGAGGAATCAACGGCAATATAATTAAATGATTGGGCAATAAGAAAGCATTATAATGTGTGACTTCCTTTTTTTATTTTCCCGTTACAAGTGTCACGCAATTTTTAGTCAACGTAGCATGATGCATTATGCCGGGAAAGAGAGAGGGTCTCTCCATGCAGGAGGCCTTTCACCTTTCGGAGCTCCTTTCGAAGAATACTTCGGAGCTCCTTTTGAGAATGCCTCGGAAGAGAGAGAGAGTGAGAAAAATTCAAAAAAATTTAAATTGATTCTAAATAAATTTCGCAGTGAGGCTATTTATCGAAGAATAATATCTGCTTCAGGAATCGGTCCTAGAAGATTTGGAAGTCTTCCTACTTTAGTAATAGTAGATATTACTGGTGGCCTATGACGTAGTTTTTGCCTTCGGAAACTCTGCATAAAAAAGAATAAAAACATTGACTAGACGCATAACATTATGAATTTCTGTGTAAAAATATTACTTTCATTAAAATATGGAACAACTTAAAAATTTTATATATTCGCATCTCCATGAAAAACTACGTTTAAACTACAACGATGCTTGGCTAGAAGAGCTTGGACTTCTTCATGGAAAACGCATCTGCATATATGTGAATGTCGAAAAATTATTTATTTAAAAAATATCGTCAATACGGGATGTTGGCGTTGCACTACTGGAAATTGTATGGCTGAACAAGGCTACTCATCTAACAACCAAAACAATTCTTTTATCTTTCGTATTTATGGGTTCGACGATTAGGTAAATATAATAATTTGCAATTAAACACTGAAATTAGTCAAAGTACAATTCCGTATTGGTTGAATTTCTTCAGTGATGTGCGAGCCGAGTTTTATATTAGGAATCCCATTACAATTGGAGGAGAAGTCAGGGTTTCTGTGATTGATCAATATTAACTGCTAATTAAGGTGTTCTAATAGCAGTAGACGAAACTGTTGTTGTAAAAAGGTAATATAACAGGGTAAGAGACCAAGTAAGAAAGAGGTCTGGCTGTTTGGAAGTGTGGAACGGTGATCTGGTGGTGAAAAATGTTTTTTAGAAGTTATTTAAGGACAAAAATCAACCGAAAATTTTATTCCAATGGTTCAAAAATTAAATCGTCAGAGTCGATAATATATACCGATCTTTGGAAGGCATCCAAATCTATTCCCAAATTTCCTCAAAAGTACTCTTGTTACACTGAAAACATTCAAACAATAATTTTAATCCAGAAAATAAGAATGTCCATACTCAAAATATTGAGTCCTTGTGTTCCACTTATAAACGTAAGCCGGAAAATTTTATTTTAGATTTGCAGAGAGAAGTGAGGCATTTGGCAATGAAGTGTATTGAATGTAAAAGGAAGATAGGCGATTCAGCGATGCTGAAGCAAGTGATTAAAGAATGTAGAGCCATTTTTGCAAAAAATTGAGGATTGTACATTGTAAAAAACAAGGTAAGTGAAGTAAAAGAAGTGCGTAAGTCCAAGGAAAACATTGCAAAAGTTAAAGTATAGTGAAAATTGTGAAAGGGACAAAACAAATGGCTAACAGAAGCTATGGCTGTACAATGAAAGTAAGAGTAGTAATTGTGGTAATCTTGATAAGTTTTTGAAAGGTAAAGATTATAAGCCGAAAAGGCAGTGGAGTGCTTCTAAATGTAGATAATAAGAACTCATACTAAATTTGTCGTTTGAGATATGAAGTTCATAGTTATTAGTAAAACTTTCATCTTTATTTTCAGCTTGTAGAAAGTGATATTTCAGCAATAATCACAATCCTCGAAGTGTTTTAGTACTGGTTAATTGAACCGAGCTGCCTGTCTTTCGGCAGATGCGATGATAATTCAAACATTTTCATCGTTATCTCGTTAAGAAACCTTTCGAATACAGACAAATGTGTTACATTTTTGTGAAAGGAGGTAATAAAAGAGAATAGTAGTAAAAATAACCACATTCACTTGAATTTAGAAATTAATAAAGTAGGGTTTTGTTAAAAATTTGAAAAGATATCCCAGCATATCCCCTGTGATATGCAATAAAGCTTATATAGGCGATATAGCTATTTAAGAAAATGCATACGCTTATTTAAACTACTAGGAGCAAACTAGATTCTTCTAGTGCAGGACATGTTATAAATCACGTCACGCCGCCTTCTGTAAAGCTTTAGGAATTTAATAGCTACATATATGGAATTTAATAGCTTACTGGGAGCTAGGAATGTCAAGATTAACATTATAGAATTAAAATGGGTTAACAACATTCAAAATCATCCTTGACAATTAAAAAAACATAAATTAATTAGTTAATTTTTTAATTTAAATAAAACATCAAATAAAATTTAAAAAAATCAACAGATTATTGAGCGATTTTTTATAAATGAAGAAGGAGAAAGGAAGGAAGAATAGCCTAGCTAATCATGAGATTGGCAAGGTAAATCGCGCGCGATTGCTAAGGTAAAAAAGGAAAGAAAAACCGGCGCTACTTTTTCTCCTCTCTCTCTTTCCTCTCACTTTACTCTCTCTTTCCTCTCTCTTTCCTCTCTCTTTCCTCTCTCTCTTTCCAACCTCTCTTTCCTCTCACTTTCCTCTCTCTTCCCTCTCACTTTCCTCTCTCTTGCCTCTCTCTTTCTCAAAATTCTCTCTCTTTGTCAGCAGTAAGATTCGCGCGAGCACTGATTGTCAAGCATTGTTTGCGCGGCATTTTATTGTTCCCTTTGAACAAATGCTGCGGAAAAGAAAGAAGAAAAAATATTCTTAAGAAATATTCTTAAATAAATCCTTGAATAAGAGTTGTTATGAAAGATCACTCCTTCATGAATCGGCACAGAAGATGAGAATTGCCACTACTTTTGAAAAAATAACACAGTATATTCAATTTTTAAATTATGATACTACGCGCATTACTTTATCGAGCAGTAATAAGAATCATCACTTTTTATTTTTAGAATAAATTTTAAAAAATTAAAGATACTGATTTGAAAAATTTTTCTTAAATAAATTTACCTAAGCGAGGGAACATGTCTTGTAATAAAATTGGGACATTACATACCGTTGGACCACTACAGGTCCTGAACTTGAACTAGTATATAAAATATATTTCTAATTATTTATTTATTTCTTAAATGTGGGGGAAGCAAAAGCATGCCAAGAATTGTGTAATTGAAAGTGAGCACTTTAGGACGAGGTTCTTAAAGCTTATATTTGCATATTTCGGGTCTCTCGATCATATTTGTATATTGTGATGAATGAATATTAGTGGCGACGAATAAGCTTGAGAATATGTTTCCGGCTATAATTCCGGATGCTTTAGGGTCGAACGCAACGGAAAATCAGCTTAGAAAACAGCTATATTAGACAAAGGAAACGATTAGAGAATCAGATAGAAAAATCAAGGTTAACATTATAGAATGAAAACGGGTTAACAACATACCCTTAGAAATTCAATAAAACATTAATTAGTTAAAATTTTTTAATTTAAATAAAACATCAAGTAAAATTTTAAAAAATCAACAGATTATTGAGCGATTTTTTAGAAATGAAGAAGGAGAAAGGAAGGAAAGAATAGACCTGCTAATTACCTATAAGGGAGTATGTTGGCAAATTAAAAGCGCGCGCGATTGCGGAGGTAAAAAAAGGAAAGAAAAACCGCGCGCGACTTCTTCTCCACACTGTTTGTCAGTAGTAAGATTCACGCGATTTCAATATGAAAGTAGCACGAGGCATTGATTGCCAAACATATTGCCAAACATTGTTTGCAAGGCATTTAATTGTTACCTTTGAACAAATGATGCTCGACAAAGAAAATAAAAATTGCAGTGTTTTCAAGATACAGTGTCTTAAATTAAAAAAAGATTTTTTTTAAAACTATGCATGCTGTTTTTGAAAAATGCATGCTGTTCTTTATGGACTTGTAGGAGCAGCCGGGGATTCCACAATCGGCATAATAGTCGATGAGATTATCGATATTGAGTCCCTATTCCTTTGCACTTTTATCACTGGAGGGCGAGAATTGCTAGTCCAACGTTCTAATCTAAATGAATTTATCTTTCCGATATTTTTGAACGGCTTACAGGGCGCAGAATTCTGAAACAGATTTACTTTTACACAAAATTTGGAATCCTTAAAGATTTACACAAGTCACCGCGCAACATGCCTCTATTTCTACTTTATGCACTGATGAATGAAAAAACTTGATCTATTTCTTTGCAGTTGAAGATGTTAACAAAAATCTCTCCCTTAAGAGTCGGCATAGAAGATAAGAATTAAATGCATTCAAAATACATTGTATTCAAGTTTAATAAAATGATACTACGCGCATCACTTTATCGAGCAGTAACCCATTAATACCGTGAAATTAGAAATCAAATATGAATAAAGATTTTTCGAGTTGCCAATCATGATTCTCAACAGACCCTCACGTCCGATCTTTAATTTTAAAACAAACTTGACAAAAATGAAAATTGACTCACGATATCATAAATAAAAATACAAAATTCATTTTCAATTTTTATAAACTTTATTCTACATAGTAGATAATTAAACGTAAAATACAATTAAATGTAAAAATTATCCAAAACTTTAAAAAACTGTGTACAAATTACTTAAATAATTTATAAAGACAAAAAATAATAAACAAAATTGTTAAATACAGTGTGGCAAAAACCTAATGTCGAAACTCGGGTGGTTTTATAATTTCTTGTCATTTTTTAAAAGAAATTTCGCGTTATCTCGCACCTAGTTTCAAATTTTTCTAAATTTATGTGTTAAATAACTATTAAAAAAACTGTATAATAACTGTTATGTAATTATGAGACATATGTAGAAGTTGAAAAATCGTGTAAAGTTCATGTGGTTTTATAATTTCTTGCCACAATGTATCAGTAAAATATCAAACATGAAGCATTTAAAAAACATAAACATATTTATGTCTGTATAACCGCGCAGCTTTTGGCTTTAAGGATGTTGACTTGTTACAACGTTTTTTTCAAAAATATCATCTATAATTTAAATAATCAGAGAAAATAACGGTTTAATATATGGGAGAAGATCGAGGTGGAATATAATATCGTGCATTTGAACGTAAATATTCTGAAAAGGACTTTCATGAAGGGGAGTTGAAGAGCACAGCATATTGTACTAGTATATAACTGGATTAGGGGTTATTCTACTTATTTTTGTTTTGTCATTCATATGACATATACTCCCGAATAATAACCTTGGTTAATTATAGTTTCAAACTCTCGCTAAATGGTGCAAATTATCGAAGGAGGGGAATTACTATTCGTGTATTTGAATAGGTGGTAGAGCATTTAAGAGGGTAATTATTTATTCAACTTTTAACCAGAAGGGGTAAATATTCGAAGGAGAACAATTATTTGATCAAAAACTCTGATATCGGGAAATAATTTTATGAGATACTAATCTAGAATCCAGTCACTTTTTAAATAAGATCTCTAGATAATTTTGAAAAAAGTCATTACCCAAGCTGCTTTGTTTGGAATAATCTTCAAATTGTGCCAGAAGATCAGACGAATCTTCGTTATGAGAACTCGTGTGTTCATCAACTGAAGATCGTGTTGAGCTTGATCCTATTCCCTGTGAATGCGTATAATGTTGTGGTGGAGGAGGCTGCATAGATTGTTGGAAACTATGTTGCCCTGGTTGGATTAGGCTTCCATAATTTGGATTGTGGGTAGGATGAGGCTAAACAAAAAAATGAGCAAAATATTCTTTAAATTTATTTTTTGAATACCGTAAAAGCTTGAAGGGAATCTTTGAGTGAAATTCATTAAGAGAGTTCTTAGGACATATTTTCGAGGGGATATAATTTTTCCAAACATTCTTCAGAAGAAGCAGTTTTGGAAGAAGTTAAGCTACTTAATCCCGATATAGACAAGAATAGTATATTGTCACCCTAAACAAAAGACAAACATACAGGACCCTTGGTGACAGAATAAAGTAACTCAAAGAAAAGTGTATTTTAACGAAATTCTAAAGATTTAGGAGGAAAATTTATATTTTCTAAAGTAAAATACCATATGAACGGACGGTCCTGCCGCTCCATGTTCTCGTGTATCATTGTTAAAACCATGGGTTCCTTGATGAAAATTGTACGGTAATGGATTCGTATATGCCTCTACCAAATTTTTTGCATTTTCTGAATAATTTTTTTAGATATTTAATAAAGGATTTACATAATTCAATTAGTCGATTTCACTTGTAATTAAGCTTAATTATCAATCAGACAAGTTTAGATTTTGGAATTTTCTTAGAGCTTAAGCTTTTTGAAATTTAAATCCCCGAAAATGTGAAGCGAATAATTTCAAAAATTTTTAATTTGAAATTTCTAAATAGCTTTAGCTCTTTCTCTAAACTCGACATTTTTCGGCAGGACTAGAAATGTATTTTCTGGAGGTCCATGATTGAGGAACACTTGTCTTCCTCTATTTATCAAATAGAGGGGTAAATATTTAAAAGATCACCAGGCGTGTTATGAAGATTTAATGATTCAGTATTTAAATGTGATGGATTCACTAAATTTTGAGGCTGTTGATTTTGATAAAATTGATTGTGATGGTCATTTAATTCAAAATTTGATGGTTGCTGATGTCCGAAAATTCCTGGCGATTCTTGATTTTGTGGATGAGCCAATTGCTGTTGCTGAACATTTCCAGCAAATGGGTGCAAAGTTGACGTATTTGGGTGAAATCCAAGCTGTGCACCTTCATTTTGTGTTAAACTCATTTGAGGTTGAACATGACTGTTCGGTGTAAGATGATCCATTGAATGCCCAGCACCTAATAAATTTTAATATTCACACGACCGTAAATATAAATTCTCACTCAAAGTCATTCTCGGGTCATTTTCAGATAAAGCTAACGGATCAACAGCAGGTCCTTGCACAGGAGTAGAGATGTTGCTCAAAGGTGATTTAAATAAACGATCTCGATTTAATTGTATAGGGTTTTTAATTGGTGTTTTTGGAGATAATGTTGGTTGGGATGAATGTTGTTTTTGTGGAGATTTGGAAGGACTGGTTATATCCACCATAGGGGGATAATATATTTCTGGATTCCTTTCGGTATTGCTCTCATATTGTTCCAAATCCACATAATGATTTTGTAAAAATCTTTGATCACTTTGTTCTCCTCCCACAATTTGTTGCACGTGTTGTTGATTTTGAGCAACGTTTTCGCCTTTATCTAGATAGATATTAATTTATTTTATTGTTGATTAATAAAATCAATTGAGAGGTGAATTGAAAAAAACAATCATGGAAAGGTATGGGATTAGATCTAAGCACGACTGATTAGTGCACAAGATGCTAGAAAAATTCGGGGCCTATTTTTTAGTAAACCCTTCCTATTTTGAGTAAACCCTTCCTATTTTGTGTATTTTTTGCATTTAATAGGCATAGAATATGGGGGTTAATATTTCCGGCATCCAGCATTTAACTGTAAGACAGATCCGGATTACGGAAGCGATTAACAGAATTATCTGTAGCATAATAAGAGGAACTAATGAAATAACATAATTAATTTTATACTTAATTGTTTTTGGTGTTTACGTAAAATTTGCGTAAGTCCACCAAAATCATCATCATGTACAAAATCCGAATCAAAGAAAGGGTGAGGCTGAATAATCATTCAAATTAGTTAATTAAGAATTTTTATTAGAAATTATTAGAAATAAGATAATAAAAAATATTACAGATAGATTTTGAGCAACCAATCCTTGCTCTTGATGCCCTACAAAATCACCTCCAATTTGTTGAACAGCATTTTTCCCTTTCTTTGCAACTAAAATAATGCATTAATTCTTAAGCACAAAATTTAGGGTATATTCTGATACCGTTTTGTGGCATGTGTTCATATTCGTCCAATGTTCGTTTCTCAACAACGTCATCGTCCTCATTATCTTAAAAATAAATACATAATTCCTAGGTCATATAGATGTCCGATTTCTCTTCCCTATTTCCGAATGTTTTGCTAGCTAGCAAAAATCCTTCGTGATCCTCCAATTTCTAAAGGATTCCTTTAATGAATACAGAGGGTCAATAAAGGTAGCCGCTAGGATTTCAGGGTTACTGTTCCAATAAACGGTGATCAATCACGGTTATTGTAACCCTTTCGCAAAGCAAATAAATATAACGAACACCTCCTACAGTTAAAATTAATGATAGCCTACGATGTTCAGTCAGGAAATGATTGTTTGTTTCAACACGTTGTTGATGCATATGTTCTTGATTTTGCCCACTTATTGGATAGGAAGGAATGTTTGTTTCAACATTTTGTGGTAGTTGATGAATTTGTCCGAATGTTTGATTGAAAGGATTGTTTGTTTCAGCATGTTGTTGAGTATGTCCACCTATTGGAGGGTAAGGAATGTTTGTTCTATCATGTTGTACTTGATGCTGATTTAGTGAATTTTTTGGATGGAAATGATTGACATCTACAACTTGATGTTGTTGATGTATTTGTTGATTTTGTCCAGATATATGCTGTGGATGTGCCAGAAGTTGTCCACTTTGTTGATGAAAAGGAATGGTTGTTTTATCATGTTGTGTTTGTTGTTGTTGATTTTGTGCAAACGTTGGAGTAATCATTTGTTGCTGGTTCGTTGCAAATCTACTTAGTAATGGTTGATTTTGTATTCCGACAGGAAGTGGTGGCTTTTTTGCGTAGTGAGGATTGCTTTTCTTTTGATGATTCAAAAAATTTTGAGCCAGATCATGTGGAACAGGAGGAGGTACGCGAGGTGAGGCATACTGTACTCCTCCCAATTGAGTAGTCAATGGATGAGCTCGTGGTTGTATCGGACTATAATAGATTTTAAGTGAAAGTTTTATATTTAAAAGAAGTTTAAGGAAGGTGAGGATGTCTAAGATGTGTATAAGTCCCTCATTAGGTAGTATTTCATATCTAATCATCAGTAGCTTTCATAGAGCTGAGTAAAACGTAGTTGTAGTTAAATAATCTACCCCAAAACGATAAGAGTTGGTATCATAATAAGAGATCATAATATAAAAACTTTTATGAGATAGAAATCCCTTTGGTCTTTGATAAGTATGAATTATATAATTGCTTTGATAAATCTCTTTGATAAGGGATTTGTTGTGATAAAAATTAAATGTTCGATTTAGTCTTGGGTATGGCTCCGGAAGCTAGCTAATATTTTAAAATTAAAGAATCGCTGATTTTTAATTGACCATTTACCTTGAAAATTGTGGTAATGGTATAGGATTCGTCTTATTTAACGGATTATCTGGACTTGTAAAAATCTTTTGTCTATTTTTGTTTCTTTCATCGCACCGTTTATGATATTCATTAACTTCTTTTTGATGAATTTCAATTAACTTATTGTTATCCAAATTCGGAGTTTGGCTTTTAACTATTTCAAGACATTTTTCCTGCATTAGACGAATTGCAGCGGAATCTATTTGACCAGCCGTCCAAATTTTATCAAGTTTTTGAGTTGAATCAGATTTTGTAAAATTTTCTAAATTTTGTATATTTAGTATTTATTACTTATTATTTTGTACTTTTGTATTTGGAGCGATATAAAAATTTAGCGATATTTTTGGGAAGTATCTATATCGAATTTCTTTCAAGAAAATTTCAGATTCTTCGAAATTTTTCGAATTTTCAATTATATCTCAATCTTTGAATAATTTAAAAAATTTGCCTGCCATATGAGATAAATATGTTATGAGAAAGTTTGCCACAAACCAGGGTTCCGCGGATACAACAAATCTTCGAGTATGGGTTTCGGGCGGCAACCCTGCCACAAACACACAAAAATTTATTATATGAGTATATCGATAACGATCATTTGCGGGGTTCTTTCTAAATAGACTTTTAAAATTATGAAGGATATATCGGGTCATAAAAGTTTTAAAATATCATGTAATATTTGGATAATAATCCAGGTCCAGTGCCCATAGCGAAATTTCACTCCTGAAAATTTATGGAGCCAATTTGTCTGCTATTGTCAGAGTTCGCAGTTTAAAAGATTTTAAAAATTTCCAAAAATTTTACTTATCGGATACTCTCGCATTAATTTTAGCACTTCTGCAAGATGTCCGTTTTCAAATGTTATATTAGCACAATTTGGATTGTTTTGAAGAACCCAATCTTCTATTCTACTGACATCAACTGAAATTGTTGGTGTTCCTATAATTTAAGCATTTAACGAGACAAAAATAATTGAAATACACTACTAATTTATATAATTCCTCCGTAGCAAAAGTACTACTTAGTAACTATGTATGGAAGGGTATATTATGGTATTCTCAGAAGAAATTTAACAATTGGGGGGGGGGGGGGTTTAAAATAGTTTTAAAGACTTCGGATAATTAATCATTTTAATAATTCTGATGGTAATTCAAGTCATTACTACTTTGTTTTTGATTAAATACAAGGTCTACCAGATAAACTGGCAATCAAAAGAGTTAGCTATAGCCAAATCAGACAGGATTATATTTTACGTTGCCCAATTTCCGTTGCCCAATGTTTGCCCAATTTTCCCGTTTGCCCAATTTTTACGTTGCCTATTTCCGTTGCCTAATTCCGAATCGAGTAAGTGCCAAATTTCAAAGAAATTTTACTTATCGGATAATTTGGTAATGTTTTAAACAATTCTTGAAGATGTACGTCGTTGAAAGGCATATTAGCGTACTGTGGATAATTTTGACGAATACTATCTTCCGGTCCATTCGCATTACTTGAAGGAGTTGAAGTTCCTTCAAATTAATTTTTAAAAAATTTTTTAATATTAAATATCACAATAACCTCCTCCACCGTGTAGCACGGCATTTAAATAAGAAAAACACATAAAAAGCAAAAATAACCACATTCAGTTCAGAGACTTTAAATTTTCTTTTAAAAATCTTTTAAATTAAAAAAAAATTATAAAATTAAAAAAAATTAAAAATTTAAAAAAATTAAAAAATGAATAGAAGGATGAGAGCGGAGAAGGAGGGGGAGAAGGGAGATGAGAGCGGGGAAGGGAGATGGGGAGGGGGGGGGGAGGGCGAGGAAGGAGAATAATGACATCGAAAGAGGAGGCATTGAGAGGGAGGATTTGACAATGTGACACACTCATAAAAAATTAATTGTTTATATTAACTCCCCCATCTCTTAATAAAAAAGTAAATAGAAGGTAGGTGGAGGGGCGAGGAGGCGAGGAAGGGCATTTATTGGGGAGGCATTGTCAGGGGAGAGGAATGTCTGATTTGAAAATGTGACACTCTTTGAAAATTAATTGTTTAATTTGGTGGGGGAGGGGGGGGGGGTGGGGAAGGAAGGAGGGAGGGAGGGGGTAAGATAAGGGGAGAGGAGAGAAGGGAGAGGGCAAGGAAGGAGAATAATGGCATTGAGAGTGGAGGCATTGTGAGGGGAGGATTTGACAATAAGACACTCGCATATATTTTATCTCTCCTATATATTTTATCTCTCCCTATTCCTTAGAAGGGATACAAACTACATCGCAGTCAAGAAGACCTTCTAAACGCAAAACATCTATTAAATAACATCAACATTCAAAAATGTTTGGAGAATTAGCAAAACATTTCGTAAAAAATATTTATTATGCTAGCTCCCTCTAACACTAAAAATCGCGAAAAAAATAAAAATTTATTTATAATTTTTTATTTAAATTAATTAATGAATTATATTTTAATAAAAATTCACGTGTTTCTCAATGATTTTATGTATGTGGATAGTTGTTTATATAATGTAAAGTGCTTTCTTTGGCATAAAAATGCCGCTTAATCATGTAGAATTGGAATGCCTCTTTTAATCATGCCGACATCCGGTGATATTCCCATGACTAAACAGCGGTTTAAGTCTTTATCCTGGAACATTGCCTTCTGAGCAGATCAGTTAAGGAACAATCAGCTAAACTTTGGTTTTGTGCCTAGCTCGTTCGCCAACCAGAAACAAATCTCAGCAATCTCGATAAACCCTAGGGGATGGAGCTCTCGGGACCAGATTGAGCTGGATAACGAAAGGACAATAGATGGAAGGTTAAATCTCGCTAAAACATGCCCTAATGGATATGTTTTTTTCTCAACATATAGGGAAAGAGACATGGGTTGACTGTAAAAAAGTCAAAAATTGTAAAAATTGGAATAGGCTCCAATCTCTAATAGGAAAATTAAAATTTTGGGTCTGATATAAAGTTGAGGGGGGGGGAGGGGATAAGAATCTATTTAAAAACTACAAAATTTAATGTTATTTGGAAAACTTTCAACAAGCTTAATAATAGTTAAATTTAATATAGTTAAGACATTCATTATATTTTTTAATAAATTTAAATATTAAAAATCATTTATTTAAAGAAATAAAATTAAATAAAGGCATCATGGATAAAAAATTATGAAGGAAGGGAAGAAGCTTTCATGCCTGTCAAGTCGCACGTCTTTGCGTGAATCCGATGCGGGCGGGCATCTAAAATATATGAGGAGAAATGGCATATGCCCTTCATAGTGAATTAGAAGGCATTGTTTAATTTTGGGGGGGGGGGGGGAGAATTTTTTATCATTTGACTTTTACCCATTGTCAATGCTAGCCAATCATATAAATAAATTTTTATCATAAACTACAACTCGAATTGAGGAGTAATAGAGTCTAAAATTATTTTAAATCTTCTAGATCTAGAGCTTACTAAACTCTTAATACTATATCGAACAAGACTGAACTCACAAAAAAGGTGAAGGAGTGATAGGAAAGAATGGAACTATTCGAAATAACACCGTTATCCGCTCATTAAGGCAGAATATAATAAATAGTATGTTAACAGTATATTAATTTTTTTCATAAACAGTAAGGATTTAGTTAAGTTAAGTTTAGTTACCGAGGAGGAATCAAACCTTCAACGTCTTTAAGGCTGAAGCTTTCAAGACTTGCCTCATTAAATAACCCAATCCTATTGTTGTGAGTTCATTAATTTATAATTACATGAAATGCCAATGACTTTAAAAGGAAAATCAGAAACATAAAAAAAACAAAAGCCCAGCTATATATTAAATACATAAATCATAAATAATTGTATTAATATAATTCATCTATCATTTTTTGAATGAAATCATCATCATCCCCTTTATTTCGCTCAGAATTCCCCTGCAAATGTTGCGAGTTCATTGCTTCAGATCCCGATACATCTCCGTTTCCAATAACAATACCATTTCGTGGATTTTGATAAGCGTTTCTTGCTTTCTTTCGGGGTTGTTCTGAATTGGAATCAACGATTCTCTTGCCCTTATCTAAATAGATTTTTTAATAAAATATAATTTATTAAATTTTTTGTTATTTATTTCACTATACACATCCTCTAATGTTGACACACCTGGCTTTACAGAGGCATGAGCACCGCTAGCAATCTGCGGGACATTTTCTAATACATGTTGTTGTGGAAGAAGATTGATATTTTGTTGATGAGAGCGTTGATGGATTTGCCTGAATAAACATTATTTTATACGATTTCTCGATACATATAATATTTTTAGTTTAATTTATAAAGATGCATGGCTTTATAATTAAATAGTTATATGCTTTACAATACTCACTCATTTATGTTTTGACTAGCAATATTTATTCCATGAGCATTACGACCAATATTCTGCATTTGTTTAATCTTTGCCCACATAAGAGCATTTTCATACAATTTAATTTGATTATTAAATACCAAATCATGCGGAGCGGGAAGATTGTCAACGTCTATTAATGAAAGAATTATGTTAGAATTAACTTCCTCCTCATCCAAAAAGTTAGAAATGGTTTCTTGATTAAGTTAGCGACTTTGCAAAATATCAGTCAAAAAATAATTATTAACGGTTTCCCTCTATCTTGATAATAATCAAAGGTTTACCAATTTTTTCCATTGTAGAGCCAAGACCCAAAGTTGAATTTTCCCCAGGGAAGTGAAAAG